TTCAGTTTGTGATGTGACTATTCCCGTTTTTCCCGTGGACTTCACAATATTAATATAATATAATAAAAACTCATTTAAATACATCTGCAAATCTTTGGCTGATGCAATCACAATTCAAGGTCACATCTGTAGATACATCAATCACAGGTCATACAAAAAACAATCTATAGACAATGACACCTTATTATAACGTATTAATATATATATAATGTGTACATGTAGCAATATTTACAAGTAAATCTACATTTCTAATTGTGCGCCCTGATTTAAACTGATGAGTATTATGAGTTTGGGTTTTTGAAGGCACTAGGCTCTTTCCCACTTGACAAAATTGAGACTTAAACTTACATTTATTCAGAAATTGTATAGAAAATTCCAGGGTCTCTCAAGAGTTTGATCTCCTGACTTCCAAGAGTCTATCACATTTATAAACTAGCCGTACACTTGCAGCCAGTTAAAGTACTGATGCCAGCACTACAGCCAGAAATATGGTTAATAAGTAAGGAACATGGAGTTAAGGGCCCGGGCTCAATATTAACGACAACATTTCTTAGATTTTTAAGGCGACTTTTATCGCATAAATTTTTTAGAAAGTAATGGTAAGAGTTTTAGAACCTATGAAATTAGCTCTCTAAGGAAAAAAATTTTGGTATGCTTATTTCCATACCATGCTTCATTCTCCACATTAACACTTTGCAGTCACACAGCCAGCAGCACAAAATACCTCATCTGGCCAGGAGAGCAACTGCAACGAACTTCCCGGGCTTGGCGCAGAAATTCCAGGTGACTGGAAAGGATAATTACCACCGGCGCATTATTGTGAAAATTGACCACAAAGAGTTAATGAACTCACCTGTTCTTATTCACAGCAGTGAAATCCAAAGCAAATTTTTACTCTAATAATCTCAAAATATATACAGTGGGAAAGAGATCTGGCGCAGACTGAAACCAGGACCTCTGGATCTGAATGGGAGACTTCCAGAATACAAGCTCAATTTTCCAAACCACAATACCCGGTTCCCTAAGGATATTTATATATATATTTTCCTAATATAAAGTCACACAAGCAAAAAAAAAAAAATGAAGTAAGACACTGTCCCACAAAGTTCTTTAAAAAAATAAATCCTGTGCACATGGAAAAAATAAGCAGAGACACCTAACTGCTCAAGACAAAGTTAGTCACAAATTACATTCAAGCATACAATTTCTAGAAAGGATTCCTGGCCGACTCTTACTATTTGTATGAGAATTTTAAGGTCACAGACTTTCAAATTCACATAAAAAACCAACCTCAGCAGTGTGTTAAACAAGATGTTTAAGTTCAACCCTTAATCAACAAAAAAGTCACAAAAAAATAATTTTGCTTCAACATTTTCATTGAAGTGGCGCAAGATTAGAATGAGAGTGTAAAAGCCATAAGCAATGTGTCTTTTTTCTATTGTTTTTCATACTTTTTTAGGCATAAACCATATCACAATACATGCCACAGCTAATTTTTTTTCTTCCTTTTTTTTTTTTTACCCCCATCAATAAAATTGAGATCGTTTAGGAGACAGCTTTCGACACTGCTGTCAGGGCCATCCCAGGCTGAAAGGGGTACAAGATCCCAGCAGAAAGACCGAGATACTCTATAAAAATTCTTCCTACTCAGGAATCCAACTTGGCTCTCCTGTAAACGACAGCGAAACTCTTAACCGCTGCACCATACACGCCGGTACAACCAATATGAAAGAAGAAATAATAAATAGCATCCTGTGTCACAAAATGCTTCCTGTTTTTAAAAAAGTAAGAAAAGGATAAAGTGTAGGTCAAATTTTAAGCAAAGATGAGGAAAGTGTCAAGTCAGTTTTACTTTTCTGTGCGAGGTCATGTTTGTTCCAAACACAGCACAGACTTTTAGACACCTAACTAAACCTTCATTTGCAGTCAGTCACATAATCAGCAGTACAAAATACCCCATCTGGTCACCAAGCCAGGAGACCGACTGCAACGGACTTCTCCGGCCTGCCATAGAACTGCGTCGTGACCGGAATGGATCATTACCACAGCCGCATTATTGCAGCAAGTGACTGTAAAGTGTCAAGCCTCTAAGAAGGCATGCACATCATGTGTTCAAAACTTAGACTTGGCATTGCCAAGCAAAATAAGTCATTTATTTTTACTTTCCTCCATGGCCGTACAAAGTAAAATGTCGTCATATATGTATTCAGCACCATAGTGTCGCTCATTGGCTCAACGGGTATTCAAAATTCAAAAAGTAATTGTAATTTTTTCTACCAAATACTGAAGCCACTCTGGTCAGTATAAATATATATCAAGAGTTCGCTACCTTCGAAAATGGCACATGGCTGCGTGTCAGGAAAGGGATAATTCTACATTCCATATATTATATAAAAGGTATGTGGTAAAAATAAAAATCAACTGCACTGTGCCATAAAGATCTTGCAGTCAGTAATCTCCTGAGCTCTTGCAGGGGTATGCAGAAGAAGACAGAGGAAAATCCAGCATTACGGTAAAAAAAGCTGAGAAAGCTCAGAAATACATCAGGAATAACAATGGAATAAAAAGAAAAATGAAGCACACATTTCCTGCTGTACCCTCAAAACTCCATCATGCAAATATTGTACAATTTTCACAACATCTAAATTGTACATGAGGAGGAGGAGGAGGAGGAGGAGAAGGAGGAGAAGCAGCAGTAGCAGCAGAAGAAGAAGAACAAGAACAAGAACAAGAAGAAGATGGAGGAGGAGGAGGAGACGAAAAAGAAGAAAAAGAAGGAGGAGGAGGAGGAGGAGGAGGAGGAGGAGGAGGAGGAGGAGGAGGAGGAGGAGGAGGAGGAGGAGGAGGAGGAGGAGGAGAAGAAGATGAAGATATAGCTCTAGGCACTTTACAATTCCTTAATCTTAACATCATGTTGCATAGTATGCATACATTATATTATTAATATATTACGTTCATGTTCACTCACACACATACACAAACAGACACCCAACACACACATGCAAGACAGTCCTTCTCTCTCCTCTTTTCTCTCTCTTTATTCTACTTGCTCGTTCTCTCATACGCATACAAATATTTAATATTAATATGCACACGCACACAAACACACACCAGCATGCTCGCATACCCGCCCTATGCTTCCATAGAACATGTGTATGAACATGCTAAGATGTGCACTTTACATTAACACCAACACATAAGCAGATATTCAAACTATCACACCACAATCAATGACAATATGCACATCACATTATCATGTAGGCCTACTTTGAATAAGAAGGACTAACAATTAATCACGATGGCGTTTCGTTTCATGATACATGTTTTTCAATGAAATTTTTTATTTAGCTTCAACTGTGTATCCCTCAAATGTTGTGGGAGAGAGGTCCAGGTAGATGGAGCTAGATTAAAAGAGAACTTCCCAACAAGGTTTTGACCTCCCTAACCAGGCGTCTCATAAGAGACTTACTTTATTTTACTGATCATTGGTGGAACATAGATCTACATTTGAATAAGGTGGGTTTAACACAAGGGGCATGGCGGGCTTTATTGTTAACACGTTTTTGGCAAAGAATAACAATTCTTACTGTTGTTGGGAGCCAATGGAGTTTTCTTACCTCTTAATCTCCGGCAACCCGCTCCCAGCGGCTCGCAGTTGGAACTGCTGTGCCGGTGAACTGCTGACAGCAGCTCGGGCACATTCCTTTACGACTATTTCGACATCAAATTACTTTTCGGCAATTGCCAAAAACAGGTTTCTTTTACCGGAAGTTCATTCATTAGAGGAAGTACTATCATAATAGGTTCGCCAGTATTGATTTAATTACCCATTTAGTGCCGTTTTCGTCATTTTTAGAATTAGTATTAAAAAAGGGCCCCGGCGTAGTGGGTTTACCCCCCCTCAGAGATAAAAGAGTTAACATAGTGGTGATATGTGTATGTTTTTCTCTTTTTTGATACGGTTTGGTTTTGAAAACCCTGTGGTGTCCAGTGTCATGATGGTGGTGTTGGAGAGGTTTGCTTGGAGAGAGCTGCAGTAATCCATGCAAGAGAACACAAAAGATGAAATGGCAGTTTTCAATCAGCTATCATTCAAGAATACAAATCAGTTCAACATAGATGGCAGCAAAGCCCTTTGCAAATGAATGAGGTGATGGTCTATAGATAGTTTTGATTTTAAAAAACACCCCCGTAAACACAGGTTCTGCCCTTTTTTGAGGCAGACCAAAATGAAAATCAACAATGCTTTTCATAAATCGAAAACAATGCACATTTTACAATCACTCACATAAAACCAAATGTTTTTTAACGGAGCAAACCTAAGATGCTGCTATACACGTAACGGTCTGGCCTTTTGACTACTACATGTACTAGCTTTGAAGACCAAATGAGACAAAATGTAAAGTTGTATTTTTTCCTTGAATAAAGAGAAGCACATACACAAAAATAGTCATTTAGAGCTGAGGAAAAGGTAAGACAGACAGACAGACAGAAACAACAGAGGGAAAGTAAAGAAATAGGACTTACCAGAGGCGCCCTTCAACCACCCACAAAAATGTTACAAAATGTTAAAAAAATGTATAATAGCTATGAGGCTGTCAAAAAGAGGCTTATGGTGAATCAGCATAAAAATGTCCATGTTTCAACAGGAACTAGACGTAATGCAAACACCCGAAAGAAGCAGTAGAGCAAGCGTACAACACCAGAACATCCTATCGTTTCCATGGCTATATGTACCATGTGTGTGACTCCTGCCAACAACACAGCTGTTACTGTAATACAGGATGATGGTGAAACTTTATAAGTGTTACTCCTTGATTACCACAAAAGACTATCAACAATGGGGTAATTGTGGTCATCCTGATTTTGAAACGGCATCAAACTATTATAGCATTTTTTTTTTACAACCGTTGCAATTTTAAAGGGGACATAACTTATACTTTTCTTCAGAAGATCTAAAGAATGAACAGACATTTCACCAGAAGGCACATTTTTTTTTTGACAGCACAAGATTAGCCTTAATCACACTGGAGGCCTCCGTGTACCATTCAAAAAGTAATACTCATTCATCACAGATGTAAGTATCACCTTTATTCATTATACTGTCACAAGTACATCTTTAGTCAGTATTTTCCTTCAATCATTCAAAAAGTAAGCACTCCTTATGTCACAGTAGTAAGCATCGCCCTTATTAACAAAATCAGTACACATCATCCTCATTGATCACATAAAATTGGCATCCCCTTCGCTCATCAAACAAATTGGTATCACTTTCGCTCATCAAACAAATTGGTACAGTAATCACCCTCACGTGCACGATGGCATTGCCCTCATTCACCACACATGAAAATATCACTACCACTCATGCAAAATATCTGCAGCATTAGTCTGTGTATATCAATTACAGTTGAACCTGCCTAGACTGTCACACGTACAAGACAACCGCTAGTACAAACAGCTGCTCTTTATTTCTCCCCTTGCATTTTTACTATACAATGGCATTGCTTAAAATGATAGCCTGTCCAATTTCACTACGTTTTAACTATCAACAGCCCTAAAAACACATCCAAGATGGCCACACGAAACTCTCATAGCCTGAAGTGTTAGCACGAATCATTATTTACTGGCCCCTGGCGTTGCGGACAAGCCATCACAATCCGTTCACCTGTCGTTATTGTTGTTTGTACAATGAATAAACCATTGCTAACCAGGATGTTAGGAAGGCCAGTTTTCTGGTCCCTAACTGTTTATCCAAGGGGACCAGTCCGTAACATTTCAATGGGCCTTGCGGCAGAAGTTCTAAAACTCCAACCACCTCCAGATGGGACCTCAGAAGGGAATGGTCTGTTTTCTTAATTTTGATCAGTCCTGCCTGAGATGGCTACCTGTCTAAAATGTCCACTTTTCTCCTCGACAAAGGGTGGCTTATCTTTGACAATTTTGACTGTACATGATTAGCTTTCTTTTCCTCCATGACATGACACTACAAAAACATTTGAGCCATTACACGTGTTGACAACAGACCTCCCTCTACTGTAAAGTAACCAGCATACTCCTCTCGTGTTTCTCCATATGCAGCTGCAAGGCCTTGTTCCGGCGACACGAGAAGTTGCAATACTTGCAGGCAAACGGCTTCTCCCCACTGTGCGTCATCTCATGCTCCTTGAGGTTGTGCTTGGTGCGACACGCGTACCCGCACTGGGAACATTTGTACGCCTTCTCGTCTTTGTGGATCAGCATGTGCTGATTGAGATGGGAGCTCTTGCGGAATGAGGAGCCACAGAAGGAGCAGAGGTAAGGTTTAAGGCCTGCGTGCTTCAAACGGTGGCAGTCGAAGCTGGCACGTGAGCTGCACTTGTAGTCGCAGTCCGGGCACTGGAGTGGGGTCTTGTTTTCATGACGAAGTTTGTGGTACTTGAACTTCTTCATGGTGTCGCAGGAGTAGCCACACAGCTCACAACACAAGAGCTCCACAGTGTGGTGCTTTCTCATGTGCTTGGAGAACTCGTTTCGGTCCTTGGTGGTGAAGTCACACTCATTGCAATCGAACTGCGAGTGTGTGAACACATGACGTTTCAGTTCTACTCGTGAAAAGCAAGTGAAGCCACACTGCCCACACTCCCGTCTCTCATGGCGCTTCATGTGGTGATTAAGTTCGTAACGGGTGCGGCCCGTGTAAGAACAAACGGTACACGGGAAGGCTCTGACAGCAGAGTGGGACAGTCGGTGGATCTTAAGTCTGTTTTTAGTCTTTGCAGCGTAAGGGCAATCAGGGCAGACAAATGGCCGGTCATCAGAGTGGGTGACCATATGTTTTTTCAGGTGCTCACCCCTTCTGAATGTTTTGCCACACTTTTTACAGCCGTACCGCCGTACGTCGTCATGAGTTAGTAAATGTCGCTTCAAACTACGAGTGTCTTTTAATAAGAGATCGCACCGAGGACACTTCAGAGGTTTTTTCTCAGGGCCAAATGAAACCTCTGGGCAGTCAGTCTTCTCACTAACAACAAAATCCTCAGAGTGTCCATTGAGGTCATGGTCAGAGGGAGCTGCTCCTCCAATACTGCTATCTGCATTTTCTTTCTTTACAACGCCCTGGCTTTTTTCTGTATTATCAAGCTGCGCTTCAAGTGAATTTTCTTCAGCAGCAGACTCTACGTCATCTCCTTCATACGAAGTACCTTGCCCATTCTCATACGAAGTATCTTGCCCATTCTCAGATGTAGTACCTTGCCCGTTTTCATTATTGCTGTGATCAGAAACAGACGAGGGAACTACATTTTTCCTGGAGAGGCCATTGATACATTTGAAAGAATGCACCATTCTCCTTGAGATGATAGACATCCGTGTTGACAACTCAGAAATGTCTGACAACTGAGATGCAGTTTTCTCCTCTGCATCTGAAAATGAAATATGTTTAGTTAAAGCCATCACTTTTTCAGTAAGGTTAAATACTTTGGCGACATTGGCTTCAATTTGTTCTTTATCCATGATCAAATTCCGAGGGATATGGTGGCTAACTCTTGAATTACTATATACAGCAGACGTTATATCAGGATCATTTTCCTGCTCACTGGTGACTATATCCAGATCAAATTCAGAGCGTTTTGTACCTTTTGCCTTGGGTTTCCGAGCTGGACCATTCTCTTTATGATTCAACAGATGTAACAAGTATGTATGAGTGGCTGTAAAAGTCTCCTTGCAAACATGACAAGAAACCTCTCCATCACATGAATGAGACATTAAATGCTCAATGAGGTTTGGCCGCCTGGAATTGACGGCACCACAAATCAAACAGGCTACAGATTTCGAGGCAGCATGCATCGCCACATGAACTTTGAAACTGTCCAAGGAACTGAACTTATAGTTACATGCCGTGCATTTGTAAATACTCTCAGGGGTGTGGACCGTTTCCATGTGCCGCATGAGTGTGTGTTTTCTCTTGGAGGTAAAACCACACTGCTGACACTTGTGAGGCCTTATCTCTGAATGACTTCGAAGATGCCTGTTCAGGAGTCTCTGTCTCGGAGCCGTGTACGGGCACTTTGAGCATGAAAAAGTACCTACACTCACGTGAGTGTCTAGGTGCTTTTTTACATCTTCTGGAAAGCGAAAACGTTCAGCACATTCTGGGCACGGATACGGCCTCTGTTCAAGATGAGCTTCGATGTGTTTGGTCAGCTTGCCTTTAGACAGGAAGTGTGAGTTGCATAAAATACATGTGTACTGCACAGGAACAACTTTCTCTGTTGAGGATGGACCGGCGTTGCTATGAGAAGCCCTGTGCTTTTCAAGCGTTTCCAAACTACGAAATTTTCTATCACAAATGTCACATGGAAAACTACCTTTTCCTGTTGTTAAAGGATCCACTGTATCTTCTACACAATCCTCTATTCTTAACTCCTTCATCTTCCAGGTCGGTTTCCGTCTTGTTCTCAAAGTAATACCGCACCCAACAAAATTATTTAACCCATCACTGTGTGCTATGCTAGGTGGGCGTTCAGACTCAGACAAAGCATCAAGAGCCGGCAAATCTTCCTTCTCAACATCCATCTCGTCAAACTCACGTTTCACCCTTTCAGAGCAAATCGCTGAATCTTCTGCTCCTGCTTCTGTTTTGCATTTTAAAGAAGTGCTTAAACTAGACAGATTTTCCATAAGCACTTGTTTCAGCTGAACACTTGGGTTCACACTACATGTCAAATTTTGTGACACGATAGAATTGCCTATTGAATCAGGATTGTCAGGAAGGAATACCACGGACACAGGATTGTGACCTATATTCTCATTCGCCCTGTTATCTTTGGTTGACAGCCCTGCCTTGAGCATCCAAACCTCAGAGGACAAACAATCATTATCACCACACTGTTGCCGAGTCTCATTCGATGAATTTGTAGATATTAGGTTAATTGGCCGACTTTCAAAAAGTTGAACCTCACGGCGTTCACCTTGATTAGAAGTGTTCACACTACTCATTACTTGTCCAGTCCTTTCAGAATCAGCCACATCTATTTCAAAAATAAAATTAGATTTACAGTCATCAGTTTTGTCACAAGAGAGTGCACTATACTGATCTGACCCAACTTCAGAAATGCTTTGGGAGTTTTTTCCTGCACTAAAATCAAAAGCATTCACAGACTGTTGGCCACTAGCTTGTCTCACTCCTGAAGCAGTGGGAGAGTCAAGAGAGGGGCCATCAAACGTTTGCAACTGTTCCCGGGCTGTCAAACTGGGGGCATTTTCTAATTGTGGGCTCGAGGTATCCTGCTGACCCTTGTTAAAATGGTTATACGAGCTCATGGTGTCTGACACGCCTCCAACAGTTTGAACAGAGGTGCCTGATGACTGCAATCTGTCGTAACTTGACTTGCTTAGACTTGAGCTGCTCCCAGCCCCACTGGACATGCCCTCTCTCTCACTCTCAGGGGCTGCTGCTATCAAGATCTTAAGAGAGTTTTCTAAGTTGTCCACACCTAAGCTATCTGCTGTGTAGTCCATTCTGTGGGAGCACTGAAAAAGATCAGATTTAAGAGAGAAGTGACTGAAACAGTTGGGGGGGAATCTGAAGTAACAAACATACAAAAATGACATGACAGCAATCAGACAACAACAAAAAAGATAACAAACAAAACTATTCAAAACCGTGCACAAACAACTGTATCACACAAATCATTTTACTTGTCATCAACCCACTTTGAAATGAGTACAAAGACTAAGTTTGTAACTTGTAAGTACTATATTGTGTTGCTGTAGTCAGTAGGTAAACACCTCACAATGTGAATCAGGATATAATCAAGAAGAGGCTTTACTTCTCATATTAACTTAACAGTTAATCAAAAAGTACCTAAAACCAAGATCTTGATCTAGAATAATCAAATGATTAGCTCAAAATGTCAACATTAACACAGATAGGAAAACAATGACATGAAAAGCTAGTACATGTATTACATCTAGCTCTATAGCAAATCTCATAGCTTGAGGAATGGTTGTATTCTGTGAAAGAAAGTTTGGTCTACATATATAAAGCTATCTTCAGAGTCTCCATCTTCAGGAAGGAGGAAAAACTTAAGACTCTCCTACTAGATAGACATGAACTTAAACCCTAGACATCCCAGTGATTTCAAAGCTCACTACATTCATGAAATTGACTGTAGTCAAACAAGGAAGTGTAAGTCAGTAATAATAGTTTTTTTTTAAAAAGCTTCAAAGGGTATTTTGCAAGAATTTATGAGTACAAAATAAAACAGTATAGAATTACAGAAAAAAAACCTGGTTAATCTGATAGAAGTTGAATCTCACTTCATTGACAGATCTACCAAAACTAGTAAACTGGAAAATCACCAACACCTCAATCTCAGAATTCAAAAGGAACAAGACCAATAGCCTTTCCAGAGGTCTGTCTAAATTCCACTTCTATCAAAACCAAAACTGGATATATAAGGCAAGTAAGAACTACAGGCTGAAATAGGTAGTACAGTCGTCCCCAGTTACCCCAGCTAATAGCAGAGCTGTTAAAGTACTTTTAAAAAGGTGCTTAAGTACACATCTAAGTACAATCTAAAATATGTACTTAAGTACAGTAAAAGTACTTTCCTGTAAAAAGCACTTGAGCACAAGTACTTTTTAAAAAAATACTTTTGAGTACATTTTGAGTACTTTCTGCTAATATGCTATAACACTTCAGTGCCAATGCAAAACATCATATTGAATACATAGCCAGTATATTTGACAAATTAGGCCATTTATTACTAAAAATGTGTTAACAGTATACAAAGCATTTGAATATACACACTGAACGTAGGTGGATATGGTCCTTGAAATTGAAAAAAAAACAACAAACAGAGGAAACTAGTGAGTAAGTGATATTATGAATAGAACTTGTTTGAGCAAGACAATATGATCAAATGTAAGTCAGTCTAAGAGGTCGGAAAGTAGGAAAAGTATCCAACCAGAAAAATGTAGAGACAAAGTTGCTCTTAAATAAACATAAAATTGATGAAAATGGCCAGCAAAGAAATGGAAAAGTGCATTGAATTCTTCATCAACAAATCCTCAAGGAATCAAGGTAGCCTTGGTCCCAAACCACAAAATATACAATGAGAACTAAGTTTCAGTTTCAATTGATTATAATAGTGGTAAGACAGATTTTGGTCACACTGCGTAGTCCACGGCGCCCACGGCAAACCAAAATACATGTAGTTTCCTAGAGTCTAGTAAGTGTAACTAGTGTAACCAAGGATTCTCTACTACAGTAGTCTCCGCCTAAGATCCAAGTGCTCGGGAGAAAGGGAAATACAGGATCTAAGCCAACGAAGTCAAGGAAGAATCTACAATGACCCATGAACTGATGTGACCCCTGGGTGGGTTCATGACATATGGCGAGGAAAGAGTGGTCAACCTTGATGACCAATCACAGTGGCATGGTGGCTGAGGCATGCCATATAAACACTCATTAGCCTATCGTGCGTCTCGAGGTTTTATCTACGTATCCAGTTGCCCCTCCCCTTTACCTGTCCAAAAATTATAGCCTTCCACCTCTGAATGATTGAGTCATTAAAATTCAGGCTGTCTCGCAAATTCGGGAATAGAGAAAAACTGCCTTCAATGGTCAGGACAGCATTCACAGTTCGGTGTGATCCTGCCTAGAGCGAACTTGTAGGCCCTACCGATCCAGCAAGTGATGAAAGTTTAGGGGGAGAGCTCAGGTGTGAGTGCGATGTGTGGGGAAAACAAACGTGTCGGTCAGTTCACACCCCAATTAATTTGTAGTTGCACCATTGATAGCTGGCAAAACTGGGAATAATGAATAGATGTACCTTCAAAATACGATTGCACAGCGTATACCCAAATTTTTTCTCAATTTTCATATGTCTGAATGTCGCCTGTCCTATATTATTCACAATTATATTAGACACATAAAGTTGTATTTGGAGGAATTACTTCATAGCGAATTGTGTGCCCGATGAATAAAGTTGCAAAATTACAGCTTTCTATTATATGAGCTGATACCATCTTTTCAGAGTATCTGCACTAATGCTATGTCCTTCATGTTCCAAAAATTAGACAGATTTTGTCGAGGCCTTTTTTTTTATATTGATTTCTTTTTCATTCACGCTAGTCAAAAAAAAATTACAGGTTAGCATTGCCGACTTCAGCGCGTCTAACGAAATAACCAGACAAGTTACAGCGTCCGTTCTTTTTTGGGTCTCAAGAGCAGAAACGTATGCTTTGGGTGCACTAAATGAGAATTACCATAAATCATAAATACAAGGATACACCTAAAATTGTACGTTGAAAAGTACCAAAAATCAAGTCGGCCCAGACAGAGAGGCGACAGGGAGCTGACCCCCGTGACCCCGACATGATAAGGCGCTCGGCTGGAAACCCCCCACGGCAACTAAAATTCCACCGCCGGTGCGTCATGAGATGTTCATCTAGGCTCAAAAGGGGGGTGGGAACTACCGAAAAAGCACCCACTGAGTGACCAGTGCGGCCTGCCCCGGAACGTCCGACGTAATCGGTTGCTGATAAGATTCACATCTCAGCACAGACGCAGGACAAGAATTAAGACCTGATGACAATGACAAAACGTCGAAAATCAAAGTGACAAGTGACAAAAGTCTGGCCTTTCGCGAGACCTCTTCTTTCTAATTCATTCCGTGCAAAACAGATTTTACGAATATGAGGTATAGTGCACTTATATGTAGGAACAGCGCCCATATTACTGCAAGTATTGGAGGGCATGAGCAACTCTTGACCTGATCTTACAATAATTATTGGACAAGAATGCCAGATATCGTTGACGTGATCTGTTGGTTGAACAATTTGGTGGTGGTGTTGTCTACTATCTACTACAGCAAAACTAAACCGGAAACGACCTCGACCTGTGCCTGTGATGTGACCGGAGAGCTCCTTGCCGGAGAGCCAGAGAATAAACCACAGATTTACACTAGGCCTAGGTTAGTAAGCTAAAAAGGAGATAACTCTATTTTTTTTATATATATAGATATCTATGTCTGTGGTTTGTACAGAGAATCTAATGTCCACTCTGACTCTCTGTAGAAATACACACACACACGCACACACACACACACACACACACACACACACACACACACACAACAGCAACAACAACAACAGCAACAACAACACCTGTCTAGATTAACTCAAAACAAAATATATGTCACCTATTTTTTTATAATATAATTTTTTCCAAGACATTTACGTTTAGTGTTTGTATGAAAGATAGGGCTTACGGACACGACTATAAATTACGTATGTACATGTCATGTGTTTTTAAGAGACCATGGTTTTAGGTTAACGTACATATCACACACACACACACACACACACACACACACACACACACACACACACACACACACACACACACACACACACACACACACACAAACTTTGACTACGTATACAGTCTAACCTGTGTACGGGGGCTCTCGTGGCCTAGAGGTTAAGGTGTTCACCTCTCATTCAAAGGTCCTGGGTTCGGATTCGGGTAGCAACTGAAAAATGTTCTTCTCTAAAATTGTCTTCTTTCACCTCATTTCCTGCTCTCCAGCAATTTAATGTTCTGTCGTCTGCTTTCGTCTCCACTTTCTACTCCCGCCCCCTCACTTTTTTCCCCCCCCCCCCCCCCCCCCCCTCTGGGCTCCTGACTCTTTCTGCTGCTTTTCTACTGCTACTCCTTCGCTCTTTACTGCTGTCTTTCAGTCACACCCCTGATCTCCTGGTTGGAAAGATCTACACATAGCCTTCTCGGACAAGGGCGAAAAATCCCGGAGGTCCCGTGAGTAAGTTGCGCTCGTTAAAGATCCCTTGGTAGTCTAAAATCGATAAGAGTTGGCTTCGGCCGCCACCGGGCAAAATTCAAAATGTCCTACCAACTGAAAATGTTTTATTATGTGTCCCGCGCGCTCATGAATATGACCTTATGCAGTTGCGAGCGCCGCAAAACACTCACCAGAAAAAAAAAAACAAGAAAAAAACTGTGTACGGCGGAATCGCAAAGGAGCTAGATAAAAAAAAATCCGTCTTAGGCAGGGGAATTTAGGCGCAAGTGGGGTGGAAGGGGGTTTCAAAAATCAAAGGCCTAGCCGGTGGGATCAAGGGTCGCTTGCCCGGTCGACAAGCAGTGGTCAAAATTTCACACCTCTCAAGTGCTATCCCTTCTGATAATGACAGGCGTCATCCTTACTTATCCAATTTCCACCAGTGCTTGCATTTCACAGGACCACAGTTTGACCTATTTATACCAATGATTCGAGGAACTCTTTTCTCGGCTGGCTGTGCAATCAGGGCGTAGGCATCGGTCAAACTAATTTCACACCTCTGACCTCTGGATACCAATGAAAGTTTCCGTGCTGGAGTGCCACTCGAGCACTTTCACTGGCACCCACACCACCCTGACCATCTTCATCCCTCAGGGTTCACGTAGATGGAGTAACATCTACCCTCAAACTGCACCCTACTTTCCATCCTCGTCCGGCAGCATGGCGTTAAGTTTAGAGCCGGTGGAACCAAACTTGCGAGTTTTGTTTCAAATCAGGGCTGAGCGGGCAAAGCATTTTTCGTCTAAGAAAGGTAAAATCCTAGGAAGGGAGCGGATTTTTTTTCAGTTTCCGCGTTGGACAGGTTTTCGTTTTATACAGGTTATTAAAGATAAATATGTCGGGGAGGGGGGGGGGGGGTTCTGTTGAGACAGGTTTCCTTTTACACAGGTTTCCGTAAAGGCAGGTTCGACTGTATTATATACAGTGGAACTTGGATTCAATGAAGTCGTCGGGCCTGAGCTTCAATTTCGTTGAACCGAAGTGTTCGTTATAGCAAACATGAGCAATTTTTTGTGTAGACAAGTACAGACGCCGAGCAAGTAATGTATAATGTACATGTATTTGACTTTCTCAAACAAAAGTAGTTTGATTTCAAATGAGAGGCACTTTCGTTTCTTTGATGCCAAACCGAAGAAATGCTGAAAAATTCCAGGAAAATACATTAAACTATAAAGCACACACTGTGCAAAAGGGCTGATTCGTTCTAAAACACGTCTGTAGAATCTATTTAACGTATTGTTTGCTGTGAGGAGCCTGGAATGCGCAACGTTTGATTCCACAGTCCAACGCGCATAATTCATTACGGAGTTCTGTGTCAAAACCAGCTTATCATTGTAATATTGATCAGTTGCTGGGGGGAAAATTATTGTCACGAGTTTGTTTTCCTAATGATAACGTTCCACGCTGGACCGCTTGTGTCCCTTCCACCAAGACACACGTACACGAACACGAAAGTCGCTCGTGTGCTGGCCATCTGCCCGACCCCGACACACACTAAGTCATATTATTATTATTATGTGCGTGCTAACAACGCATGTATTGGCATGAAAGAAGGCCACCGATTGGTCGGATAGGATTTAAACAATAGGATAAGCGAATATAATATAATAATTTACCATGCAGGTGGCATAGATGGTTTCCAGGAACAGATAAGGTTCGTTGGGGGTTGTTCACCCTGCAAGCGACTTCGTTGAACGTTAAAGCCGAGCGTACTCATTTATAAATATGTCCGCTGTATCCGAGTTATGTTTATTGATTTTATTAATTTAAAACAAAACCCTGAGGAATTCAATTCCTTTACTTGAATCCGATTTTTCGTTGAATCTGAGTTCCATATAAACTCGCCCAAAAAAAGTCAAGGAACAACTTGTGTTTTTACCGTCAAATTTAAACTTCAATATCTCACAAACCCGTTTAGATCAGTCAACCTAACTTGGCACACCCACTGACAACTAGACACAGTTTGCCTGTACTGCAAATTTGCCCGCACCAGCTTTACAGTGACGGACATTCTGAAACTCGACCGAAAAGCATGAAAAACGGGCTAAATTTTTCTACTTCAGCAACATTTTCATAGGGACTGTTAGCTAAAACTAAGCTTGGCTCGTGCTAAACAGATGTCTTAGCTGTTAATATTGCTTACTTACAACCCTTTATAAGCCAGCGTTTTTCAGCCATGATTCATTACAACACGATGGTCCCACGACGCTCGTTGCCTGACGTCGACAGAGGACGAGCTCTTACCTGGCTCCAAGATGACTTCACGTTCCCAGTTGTTGCACATCGACTGGGGGGGTCCCCATCAGTCATATAGAGGCTGGACAAGACCAATGGTGAGCGACCGGAAGGGTCCTGGACAGGCCTCAACCAGGGCCGCCACGTTGACCAACGGCGGCATCGACCACTTCATCGTCAGACAGGCCGTGACGTCACGAACCACCACTGCAAACGGCATCAGGGACCAACTACGGGTGACAGCCAATGTCCATGAGAGGGAGGAGACGGTGAGGAACCGTATCCGTAGAGCCAGGTTAGCTTCTCGTGTCCCTGCCAGGCGCCCAAGGCACACGCCGCCCCACAAAGCAGCTCGCCGGGCGTGGTCTGCTCGCCAATAACAGTGGACACTTTGTCAGTGGGACCAGGTAGTCTTCTCGGACGAATCCAGATTCAACCTGCCGCATCGAGACAGGCGAACCCACGTCTGGAGGCGCCGAAGAGAGCTGTTCCACCCTGAGTGCATCCAACAGGTGGCGCCCTATGGTGGAGGATCCGTTCTGGTATGGGGAGGCTACTCAGCTCACCACAAGACCCACTATACCATACACAGGGCAATTTGATCGCGGAAAGGTACATGGAGGAAATCCTGCGTCCTCTTCATGTTCCTTTCCTGCGGCAGATTGGACCCCAGGCTGTACTGCAGGACGACAACGCCACGCCACATCGGGCACGCATCGCGGGAGACCTCCTGCAGCAGCGAGCTGTCACCTGCATGGACTGACCAGTTTGTAGCCCGGATTAGAACCGAATAGAAAACATTTGGGATCACATTGACAGGTGGATAAGGGACAACCGCCCTCCTTCACAAAACCTTCAACAACTCTTGGGCTACATCATCCAGGAGTGGCAGAACCTTCCGCAACAAGTTCTCCTAAGGCATGTGCTGTCCATGCATCGACGCTGTACTGAGTGTTTGGTCAAATGGAGTGGCTACACCCACCATTGACAAAGTCCATGAAGAACTATGGCTATTCAGACTTTTAAAATCTGACCAGTGTGACTTAAACTCATTTTACATGAATTTCTC